AAGGGAGTGCTTTAGCTATTTATCATGGGCTTAAAACTCTCAAAACAATTTCTTCACTGACTATAAAAAAGAAAGAAGTACTATGGATGCATCAAAGATTAAATAAAGTCATTAATTCATGAATCCTGAACAAGGACATGTGTGCGCACAACATTTTCCATCGAGCATAAAAGCCAATGGATATGAGATGTTTTCTTAATTAAGTAGGTGAAAGTATTCTGCGTTGCCGCCACCCTGAAGAAATGTGAAGGAACATTGCAGAGTTATTGGAGCATCTTTTTTCTTCTGAATGCAAGGAAAATTAGGATCCTGCCATTCATTTCAAATAGAAAAAAGAAATGAGAGAGAGAGAGAGAGAGAGGGAACATCTTGAAATTTCATCTGAGAGATTTGCGTCGGTTCAGCAAAAAATAACAATGAACTTAGCCATTCTTCAGCTCAAAACAGTTTAGATGAACATGAAATTTCGTCATCTGATTTGAAACATGCGGTATGATGAGATACATTATGAATATTCGTATAAATGAGGTGGATGAGATTTGATTTGATGAGTCTAATGTTTGTCTCCATTGCACTCGAAGATGAAGACGTCAGATTTTTCAATCTAGCACTTGGTTGATATCAGTGAACTTGCAATATTAACTAGGGGCACGGGATCCTGGTCGGTTCCTTCGTCGATTTGCACAAAATATGTGTTACAACTTATATTCAACAAGCATTGGTTACATCTTGTCAAACAGAAGAATTAGCAATGCCCCTCTGAGACCTTGTGAAAACACCCCTAGCTAAGTAGCTAATTCCTTCATCTCGGTTTGGATTGCAACCCTAGTTCAAATTTATATACACAAGCGCTGAGATATTTCACTGATTTATCCTTTCCATTATAATCATGATAGATCTCTATTACTCCATTTTATCCAAGGAAAGGAAAATGAGTTATGGCGATATAGTCGGATGTTTTTTTACTCGGATTCTTCTGCTTTCTCAAACACATTGGAAAATTTTAGATTCTTCAAGGGTGTGAATAGCAGTTAAATAAAATCAAGCTGTGATGGACTCCTGGCACAACCATGAGCTAGTGCCAGTGTACCTCCAAAAGTCAACACCGTCAAACGTCAATCACCTGACTAACATCATGGTGCTTCAATTCTCCTTAATCCCCTCCAGGAGATCTTTAACAAATGATATTTAAAGACTTTAATCCTTTGATCTTCAGTCCAATTTAGATACAGAGGTGCACAGCCTGGACATCTCTGTAGGCCTGTTCATCTTAGATGCTGAGTGGAATGTCCTCACTAACAGCAAGGATTTCCATCCATCACAGCAGCTGATCAACTCTCCTCCATGAGAATGGTATTTCTCCCCAAGTAAAAGCATAGCATTGGATCGTCACGTTTTCCACCAGGAGCGCGATTACTTTACGTCCTTGCCGGTGTTGATATGTGCAGACACCAAACTGTTGTCACAAACCATTATGAGTGGGCAGATCATTGAAAGTACAAGCTGCATGAAACTAGCTTCCTAGTGCCTCTACTTCCTATGAGGATGCTAGAATATGATGACCCTTGTATCATTCATATGCATCCTCATACTCCTCTATGATATCATATATAGAAGGGACTAGGGAGTTCCTCTGCTAGTTATCATGCATGGATGCTTTATTTGGATAGACCGGGGAGGGTTTGAATTATCGATATGAAAACAATATCAGGGGGCAACCCTAAACGGGATTATCAGAAATGTCGGAATTTTATCGGCGATAAGAAAAAATTTCTGCCAAATTTTGTTAAAATTTGACTCAATTTGTGCAGGAAATCAAGAAGATTGTATCATATATATATATATATATATATATATATATATATATATATATATAATCTGTAAATGACTAAGATAAGTGCAAAGAATCATGTAGGCAGTCAAAGATCATCGTGTCACGCACGCAAATTCAAAAACACACCAATAAACCCGAAATGACTGAAATTTTTGGATGATACTGTGTTTTATTGGTACCCACCGGTAAACCCGAAATTTGCAAAATTTGATCCATGTTTCAGTGATAATATGAACCCTGTGTTTCATCGGTACCCACCGGTAAACCTGAAATTTGCAAAATTTGATCCATGTTTCAGCGATAATATGAACCCTGCTTGCAGAACTGATCATGATTCCACAATTAAACCCCCTGGGGATCGTTCTGCAAGTACTGCACTGATGAGCCGACAGTGATTGCCATTTGTATACTAGACTACTAGTACTTAGTTACGGAACTCAGCTTGACATAGTGGCTTTTGCCGATTAATCAATATTTGGTATCTTCCGATACAAGTTACTCCCTCCATCCTAAAATATAACAACTTCAAAATTTATCCCAAAATATAACAACTTCTACATCAACATTCTTTTCTCAACCAATTACAACCCTCCACCATTCAATTTTTCCACCTACCTTCATTTCTTATCCAATCACAATCATTTCCTATTTAATTTTACCTATTTTTTTAATAACCGTGTCCAACTCTAAAAATGCTTATATTCTAGTACTGAGGGAGTACATAATCCTATGGATGTCACTAAAATATTTCGACAGCTTTCCAAAATTCTCATATGTATCCAATTCAATTGTTGCACACTTAGTAGGCAGCTGTAAGCCCCCGGCATGGTGTTGCTCCTCCTGACCACGGCATTTCCCAGCTGAATCGGCGTCAACTATCACCAAATCCCCTTCCCCGACCTCTCTGGCAAACATCCTCTCCGCGAGGGTGTCCTCCAGCAGCCGGACGACGGCCCTCCTCAGCGGCCTCGCGCCGTATCGGGTCGAATCCACCCTCGACAGCGAGCTCCCTCCGTCTGCGGCGGTCACCGCTGGAGTTTTTGCATCGATGTGGCGGTCCAGTGCGACGCAGGCAGGAAAGAAAAACACTAGTACAACAACGATTTTTCTGTGTGGTCAGAATCAGTTTTTGCGTGCAGATCTTCCACCCGTCTGGAACGAGGTGTCCGTGAAAATCGCGATTTTCGAGTGCAGGTGCTTAAACCGTCCGCATGGGAAAATAAAAAATCGAAACAAAAACAAAATCAAAAACACCGTCACCGTTGTCGTCCCTATGGTCGCCGGCGACTGATCAGGCCTCCCCGCGGTGACCGGCGACGGATCCGGCCTCCCCGTGGTGGCCGGCGACGGATCCAGCCTCCCCACGGTGGCCGGTGATGGATAAACGCTCCGCTGCCTCCCCCGCTCTAACCCGATGCCGCTGCCTTCGCGCCGCCCTAGCCGAGGCCACCCGCCGTGGTCGCCGGGAGATAGGAGGAGTGGGAGGAGGAGGCACATAAGGAGAGGCCGGGTGTGGGGCGGAGAGGGATATGGGAGGAGTGGTTGTGGGATGGTATATGAGAGGAGATAGCACGCAATGAGAGTGGGTGTGGGGCGGCGACGGTGGATTAAAAGTTGGGCGGCTATTTTTGTGTGTGGGTGAATTAACATGCTATTTTCACGTGCAAACCTGTTAAGTGGACCATCTGCATCTGCGATAATTTTTTTTTCATGCGGTCATTTTAAAGAGTTGCATGTGAAAATGAAAATCACAACGCGACCACTTACGGTCCGTCTACAATTTAAAATGACCCCATACATGAGAATCATTCCTGTAGTAGGGAAAGGAAAACGTTACGGTAAACGTATATGAAATCTCTATCTCGATCTTATCTACTGCATGTAAAGGCCAGCATAGCGCCCAACTCGCGCGCCTCCTGCTTCGCCGTTCATTGCCCTAGACATTCGGGCCGGAGTTTCACACCGTATCGCCGTTTCTCTGACGATCCGTAGTACGGTGCTGCCTCACGAGCCACGCGCGCGGCCGTGCACACACTGCACGCGCGAGTTAGGGCGCCGCCGTCGAACAAGGGAGCGGGGCGCCTGTAAGATCCGTCCTGCCTCCCTGACGTCCTCCTATCGCCGACCGCCCAAGGCATGGCCGAGCGCTGTCACATTCCGCGTGAGGAGGACGGGAGGAGGAAGACGATGTGATCAATCCTGTAGTTTTTGGCGATTTTATATTTTAGACCCCATATTTGGGGTAAATCATGGACAGATCCTAGCGACTACTACACATCCCATATTCCCATTGGCTGTGATGTTTGACCGTACTCAATTGGGGTAGGTAAATTCTGAGGGTTCCCAAACACCCCCTGAAGGAGATGCAAGTTGCATGCCTGTTGATCAAAATTAGTATATCCTATTCATCAATATACTTAACAGTACAAACATGAATACATATATTACTCCCCCCGTCCCAAAATATAAAATTTCTTTTTGACCTCGTCATAGTCTTCGATATGCTACTTTAACAAAAATATCTAGAAAAATAAAATATTTTAAATAAAAAGAGTTGCATATTATGAATATTTGATTAATGATAAATTTAGTAACATCAATTTTACATGATTTATCTTTTTTATTTTATTACTATTAATAATTAAAGTTAAAATTGATTGACTTAGCACTATACTTAAAAAGCTTATATTTTAATACGGAGGGAGTACCTTTTAAGCATAATAAATTACCAAATTAGATTTATACGTATAGAAAAATGAACACATATTTGATGAATGTGCCACAATGTCATTCTCTCTCTCTCTCTCTCGGAAAATTGTCACGATGTAACTTTGGAATGTACATATTTGATGATACGGCTCGGCTACACAAGTCCTGATCATTTTCTCGTTATGACACTGTGTGTTGTTCAGTTTCAATGATTTTTTCCTTCTGCCATTTAATGTGAGCAATTTTCGTGATCAGGTGAAGCAAGTGACGTCATAGCTAGCTAGTCACCTAACGTAACGATTCATAATACCCAAACACTACATACCTAAAAGGTGTCATGATTTGAAACGAGAAATCCTCCCGTTGCAACGCATTAACAATTTTCTAGTAAAGGTAGATATGAAGAAAAATAACAACACAACCTGGTAGACCTGGTTATCAATTCAATTTCTGGGTGTAACAAAAACGATGACGGGAGATGGATCATCCCCTTACTTTATAACGATTACAAATGCACAAACCATGCGTACATTCAACATGTACCCCATACATATACTACCTCCTTTTTTTTAAGTATATGTCGCCGTTAATTTTGATAAATATTTGACCATTCGTCTTGTTCAAATTTTTTTGTAAATATAGAAAAATTGAAGTCATGCTTGATAATATTTAACGATAAATCAAACCACAATAAAATAAGTAATAGTTATATAGATTATTTGAATAAGATGAATGGTCAAAAAGTTAACGGCGTTATATATTAAAAAGAAGGAGTAATTAATTATTATTTCAAATAACCTTGTACCATTATTTGCTACTCCCTATATCCCGAAATATAGTTATTTCTAGCTATCAATCAAGACAGAATGCCCTGTTGCTTATTCTTTGTAAGAAACAACTGTATCTTGGAACAGAGGTAGTATTTTAAAGTCGCCTAATTAAATGCATTCACGATGAATTTGTTTCCTTGTTTCCTTGACCAAACCGAGATCTCCGTTGCAAACCTATCCATTATTATGCTTGGCAAGTACATCGGCACCACAACACAATCTTCACCATCAGCATTCTTGCACTTCATAAAATAGCTTAATAGCTTGGACATGATGTCTCCTGCCATTGGTATGCCACCCCCAACTCGCTTCCCCCACCCAAAGTCTATCTTGTCCTCTCCAATGGTTGTTATATCAGACACAACATATGTTCGATCTACAACAAGCGATGGCCACTTACGGGAAGCTATCATGTCCACGGTTGATTTGATGTACTCATCAGTCACATTAAACTTAGCCTTGCGCACGAGCTGAACTGCATACTCAAGAGGATTTCCGCACAAGTCAGCAACCAATGTTTCTGCAACAGGAAGGACGAGACCACAACCATAGTAACCTTGAGGGACTGGTGGGTTGCGTTTCCACTTGCCACGAGAATTTAAAGTGAACATGAAACGCACAAGTTGTCCAGGAGAATAATCCAATGCAGCTGTGCGGCATTTCCATATTGCTCCAGATATTAGTTCGAATATGGTACTGGACTGTCTAAGGTGTGCAGAGAGATGGCTTCTCATGGCAGATATCTCTGTTGGGCCAAAAAGAAAGTATTGGCCTACCATAGCACCAGGTGGTGTGGATTGCATTATATCATTGCCGAGATTACCATCACGTAGTGCCTCATATGCTAAATGCACGTGTGAGATACGGGGTGGGAAAAACATAGTAAAGAGCTCCCTATTCCACAAAGGAAATATGGTCGGTAATGCCTCCCCCCGTGCGATGTCAGCTATAGCTCTGATGAAATTTAACATGCCAAAGCCATCGCTTATGTTATGGCACATATGAAACCCAACCACAAATCCTCCACATTTTAGTCGTGTCACCTACATGTGGTACATAAGTAAACAAATGTGTTAAGTGTGATAATTTTTTTATGCTGACAGAAGAGGGATAGACACGAATGAACAAGAAATGATTTTTTTTTCTATACATTGCATCATAGGCAGGTTGATGATTATGCTTGGCCAAAAGCACGCATAAAAGGCAGGTGCAACTGTGTTTTTAATTTGTAGGTGAGGTGCAACCGTGTTTGGTAAAACAAAATACAAATTTACCATAATATATAATTACGCTCTTATTTTATAGACTGCATGATAATACTGAAACAGTTTTTGCTCCCCAAACTTCCATATAACTATATATTTGAGATTACTTGCCCTCAACAGTTGATGAAAAAAAATATCGATATGATTCAGATCTATCTGGCTGGAAAAGTCTACTAAGGCTGAGTTTGTATAGGAGGGTTCCCAACCCTTCTCCCTCGTTTTCTGCACACACACTTTTCAAACTGCTAAACGGTGCATTTTTTTAAAAAGTTTCTATACGAAAGTTATTTAAAAAAATTATATTGATCTGTTTTTCAAAAAAATAGCTAATACTTAATTAATCACGTGCTAATGGATTGCTCCGTTTTCCGTGTGGGAGGATAAGGTTCCCAATCATGATCTACGAACACAGCCTAAGTATAGTACGCCATATATGGACTGGTCTTATCGGTGCCCGTTTGTCTAAAATCGATACATATGAGATTTCTTCTGCATAAACAAGCCTTTCGACAAGATAAAATTAAGAACCGGCACTTATAACAACTCATTGGTGCCAATTCATAATAAAAACATGTAACAGTTGTCCCATCAGATCAGCACCTGTAGACATCATATATGTGCCAGTTAATTAAAAAAAAAGGTACCAATGAGCTTAGCATTATAGGTGCCGGTTTTCATTTTGAACCGTCATATATGAGCATTGTATATATATGTGCCGGTTTATAATTAAAAGCCAGTATATATGATTTTGTCACTCATATACGTGTGGTTTTTATCTTTTATTTTTATATGAAGTTGGATGAAGATGAAATTTATATCAAATTTATAGAGCTTGACGAGATCAACAAATTTATAGTTTGATGACCTTTTCATTTGACGTTGTTTGGACGTATGAAAACATGTTATAAGTTCTCAGATCTATTTGGATAAATGAATTTTTAAAATTTGTGAATGGTCCCGAATGAAGAAAAAATTTATATGAAATCTATTGATCTCGAGGAGATCTAGAAAAGCTTGTGTAACTAACAACATTTTTATTTGAGCTTATCTGTATTGTTAAACGTACATGTTTCGAATGATAGGTAATCTTGAAAGAATAGTGTTTGGTTACAAGATAATTAACAAGTGTTTGTTAGGCGAAATGACAAAGAGAGTGAGGTCCTGTGGGTTCAAATCTTGCATGGCACATTCCCGTGAATATGGTGTGAAAATTATGTGAGTTGTGAGAACCGAAATGTCATCGTGGAAAAAAATAAAAAATGACCAATAGGTGATGGTTCTAAATTAGAACTGGGACCAGTGACTACTCTTATTAATTCGGCTATATTGGTGAACTGTCACCTATAAGGATTTGGAACAAGCATTAGTAAAAGTTTGTTCTACTAGTGTGCACTGATTGTAATTTTTAGTTCAATTTATATTCTATCTCAATGTTATATGGTACGAATGAAATTTTATTTCATAGAAAGTCCAAGCCACATGGATGTTCCTTTTCTTCCGTATCGAGCAAAAATGTCATAATAGCGAAAAAAAGATCTTTAATTATTAGAAGAATCTGTTTTTTTTATCTACTTTATATACGGTTCCTAGAATTTAGAGGGAGGAATACATTATAGTTCCAGTGGTGCCTAGAAGTGATAGTTCTCGGTGCCTTTGTACTTCTAAGGACGTCGTATCGTGTGTTGTAACCAAAAAAAGTATGATACCGCTTCATGAACGGTTTAATATTGTACTCCCTCTGTACTTGTAAAGGAAGTCGTTTAGGACAATGTTTAAGTTAAACCTTGAAAATAAATCATGAATAACTCTCAAGTTGTTAAGTTTGAAAATGTAAAAAATTATATGAATAGATTTGTTTTGAAAAGTACTTTCATAAAAGTATACATATATTACTTTTCAGTAAATATTTTTATAGAAACAAGAAGTCAAAATTATGTTTTGGAGACCGTGTCGCTGTCCGAAATAACTTCCTTTACAAGTACGAAGGGAGTATTATGGACGACACTGGTGAATATCTACAACAAAGTATGATGTCTCGGGTTCTGCAGTCCAGGGGTGCACATGATACTTATTGTCAAAATATAAAAAAGTTGATGGCTTTAATGGTTGTGATCGGTTGTGATAACAAAATAGATAGAAAAATTAAATGGAGTAAACTGTGATTGGATAAGTAGAATCAGATAGAATGGTTAATATTTTAGCAATATATATAGAAAGAGCACACTAAAACGCTAGAAAGAATCTTGAAGACATGTGTATATGTATGGCTTGTGATGAACAGAAAAGTATACAGCATAGTACCTGCAGAAAGAATAATGGCTTGCCTACCACCATTTTAGTGTCACCCGGGTCACATAGGAATTCGTCCACGCAAGGGTAGGGTGGCAACAATGGCTTACCAAGCTCTTCCAGCCCCACATCTGCATCTGCCTCCACAAACACCACTCCTTCCGCAGTGCAGTCTACCACCAGCCTACCCTCTGGAAGCTCTGTGAGGCGACCAGCAATAGGATAGTAGTACACCAAGGCGTCTGCAAGGGCAGACTTGATAGCTTTTGCCGGATCAGATGGCCTAGAGCCATCGAAAGTACTACTAGGTTGGAAGAATTCAACAAAAGTAGCGTAGAACCGTAGAGAAGGTTGGTTGTCAATATCAGAGAGATACTTGCGCTCATTTGGCGTGGCCCAGGCTGGAGCCACTAGCTCAGGTTTGCTCCGTCGTGCAGTGAACTTCGCCATACAGCTTAATTATACGATGGATGCTCGTACTTAAGCTAGGGAGTGCTGTTTGTGGTGGTACCAAGTCCATTTGAGTCCGATAGGACCTATATATAGATCAAGGTCGCAGTGTATGCCTAGTAGCTGTCCATGAGAAAAATAAGACATGTTGCTTTAGTCAATTTCCGATATACCATCTATTGTGTGTAACACGAATCAATAGAAAATGGATCCGTGAGAAATAATGAACTAAACTTGCATGCTTAAATCTTCAAGAAAACCAAAAGACCACAGAGCAAAACCTCCCCCCTCAAATAAGTGGTCGAGCAAGAACAAGAGGTGCCGCTCTGTTCTTTGCTCAATCAGCTCGAGGGGAGGGGAAATGTTATATACTGCGATATTAGGTGCTGGTTCTTAACACATACCTCTAACAAAAATAAAGGTGCCAGTTTTCAAGTGTGGGTCCTTTACGACTACTAGCCAGATGAAAGACTTAAAGGTGCTGGTTCTTGTTAAGAACCGACATCTTTTTCTGACCGCTTGTGTTGGTTCTATTGTGCGCCCCGCGGGCAACAATCCGGTTGACGTTTGTAAAATGTGCCAAATTTTAGTATAGAACTGGCACCTTTCTCTGACAGGGAAAATCAGTGCCGGTTTATTTTTAAAACTGGCATCTATTTCGCCTGAAAGGTTTCGGTTTTTTTTTTTTGGCCCTCGTGAGCGGGAAAAGCACTAGAGGTTCCGGTTTTACCTTTTCCGGCACCTATAGTGCTGACATGCATGTCTCTTTATGTAGTAGTGAAAAGTGAGTAGCAATGTTCCTAGAGAAATTTCTAACGTACTGTAAAGATGATCTTCCACCAAGAGAGTTATGGCTTCTGTACAAGAGACTTACTTTTTTTTTACCATGAAGAGTTGTACTTATATTATTCCAATTCCCATCTTTAGTTAATCAAATAGAAACATGTAGAGTGAACAATAACAATGGCGGTTTGGAGATCCATATGAAACCTAAAAAACAATATTTTGCTGTGGAAGCACTTTGTGACCCTAGCATCAGTCCAAGATATGCGCAGGACTTCGTTCATATATAATGTATTTCATGTATTTTTTTCTACAGTATCTATCTATCTATCTATCTATCCATTATCTATCTATCTATTATTATATACTAAAAGTCCATTAAACTTCCTACAAACGCTCTTAAGCCGCAACGTGGCACTCCTATAAACGCTCTTAGGCTGCCAAATGACATTATCAAATCTCACCATCAATTTTAACTTAAATTGGTGGACCCGTCATTTTATACCATTGGATTAGATCTATTATTAAAAAAATAACGTCCTCTTTACATGATTTAAGCACTACTACTGTTGTCATGTACGTACAAGTTTATACGATGCAAACCATGTTCTTCTCCATACGTACTTACGTACACAAAAAACAAAACAATAGCTTACGTACTGTTTGCCGGAAAGAAAAGAAAAACCATGAAAAAAAATCTATGATCTTTAAAATATGGTTTTCTAAATATATTACATCACAAATATAAATATCTATAGTTAAACTAAGATCTATAATAATAATATAAAATATCCAATCAATGTTCCTTGTACCATCTTCTAAATTATTTTTAAATTATACATCCAATTTGTGATTTTATTGTATTCCTTTAATTAAATTATAAAAGTTATATTGTGGTCCTAAATACATCATGACACATGGGGCTGATATATAATAGTTAGTTGTTTGATAATTATTTTAAAAGTACACATCATATTTTAGGGTGTGAAATATCATTTCATAAATATACAACACAATTTTGGATCTACATATGTAAAAAAATAAAAACAAGATAATTTAGTTGTTTTTTCAAGTATATCTAATTAAATTATAATTTGTTCGAGATCAAGATTCTCAAAGTTTTTCTTTGACAATTTCAGAATTATTCGATTGGTATTGGAGAAGTGAGCAACATACATTGTACATAGATATGAAAAGAAATATCAAAAATATTTTCAGCCAATGATCTTCGCTATAATTCAACCCCTTAATCCATCATGAGATTTTTGGTCATATTTTTTCTTTGCCAAATAGTTTTGACACAAATGAACAATGAAGTAACATCCACAATAAACTACTCATGATATATTTTCTTATACTTAAAGGAATTTCAATATGTCAGACTTAATTGATGGATATATGTCATAAACTCCACTAACGTGACTATAAGTGTATTCCAATGGATTAGTTAATGTAAATGAGTTTGGAAAAATAAATACATTCTTCAAATTAGTAGAAGTGCCTAGTGTGATTATGAATAATAGGCGTTGAAACAAACTAGGCGCTAAACTATAGATATTTGTCAAAATATTAAAAAAATAATATGGTGCTTTGGATATTATCGTGGTGGTACATCTCTTTAGCTATATTTTTTAAAATAATGTTGAATGATTAACCTCACTCATTTTCAAAAGTGACTATTCTATCTATATCATAAAAATATTTGAGTATAATGTTCAACACCATAAACAAACTATGTCTAAAATAAATTATTTTGATCTCTTCCATCTTCTCTTTGTCATTCCCTAAAGGGCACCAAACATGGATAACAGAGTTTGCTATGGTACCGTAAGTATAGCATGGATCATATGGCTAAGTTAAGGTGATCCTGGTTAGGGATGAAAATTTCATATTATTTTCGGAATCGGAAACCCCGGATACGAAAACGGAATTGAATATTATCGAAACCAAAAACGGAGCGAAAACGAACCGGCGCGAATATGGTAACGGAAATTTATTGGAATACAAAAACCCCTCAAACTGATAAATCCAATTCTCAAGTCTCAATGGTCAACAATTCATCATGAAACTAAATCATATAAGTCCAATTGTTAAGTCTCAACGGTACGTTACAAAACACAATCTATGAAATAAATTATCTTAAACATAGATAATTTATTTCAGTGATGTTGTTGATAAATCCAAATGAAGCAAACAAATATTCTTATGTAACTTCAGATTTGCATAACAAATATTTTCTAAAAAATAACAACCAAACACCATGGTATTCACTATTTAGTGCATAAAAAAAATCCAGGGTATTTCAGTCACAAAATTTCCGGAAATTCCAAGAAAATTTCCGGAAAGTTTCCGACCGATTCCGAGTTCTGACGAAAATTGCCTTATCATTTTAGATTCCGTTTCCAAGAAAATATTTCCGAATTTGTTTCCGTTTCCGAAAAATTCCGACCAACAGATTCCGTTTCTGAAAATAGGATCGGAATCCGGAAAGTTTCCGTACCATTTTCACTCCTAATCCCAATGGAGGCCACCATCGCTAATAGTTATATCAACATATGAATTAACAGGTAGGGTATGTTCTATTCTATTTGGACCATACGAGGATTATATATAGTAGTAGATAACACAAAACTAGGACCCATCATATCTATCTAAAAAACAATAATATCCCCCATCCTCTTTCCTTACGTATATCTCTGACCCTCCCCGTCTAACTTTCCCATCTCTCCTCTCCAATTCAATTATATCCTCTTCTATTTTTTAACTAACATAATATAAAAACAATCATAGCTATTGTTTTATTCATAATTAAATAAATAATCAAGATCACATCAGCTATATTTTACTATGAGTAAATTGCACCCACGGTATAACAACTTGGCAGGTGGGTGCGATATAGTGCAAGAACTTGAGAATTGAACGTCCGAGTGCAACAACTTGACAAGTAGATGTGTTCTAGTACAAGAACTTGACAATTTAGTATTTTAGTGAATCAATTCGGCTAAGCATATGGTAGGTGAGATTTTTCACGATGTCAATATGCCAATACACAGTAATCCTATGGATATTACCTTATAATGTTGAATTTAATCTTTAAGAATTATGTTGCACATACAATTTACATTCAGTTACCTTTAAGAATTTTTTGTTTTCTTCACCTTCTCAAATATCAACTAAAATATAATAATTTCTACATCCAGTTTAATTGACTTTCAGTTATTAGTTATTAGGATAATAATAAAAATATGTTTATACAAATCCACGCTAGTATATTGTCAAAATATGTACTTAAAAATTGAATTTATATAAAAAAATTCTCCAAATAATTAAGTTGTCACACAACTTCTTAATTTATTATATCAAAATCGTACCTACCTTGCAAGTTGTTGCATTTATACGATTATTTATAAAGTTCTTATACTAAATTGCACCTTCTTGCCAAGTTGTTGCACTAGAATGCTCATCATATCTTACTATTAAGTTATCCCCCACTAACTCCTTATGCTTAACATGTAAAGATGCCACATCATCATCCACTAACAATCATCACATTTAAACATCATACAAACATGCTATATCTTTATAGTTTTTATAATTTAAGAGCTTTTCAAATACAAACATGTTAAATTATCATCCAACATAATTCTCATAATGTTTCAATATATATATATATATATATCTTTATTATGTTTTATGATATCATATATACTTATATATAGTTCATCCTCACTTAGTTAGTGCTTAAATGATTAATCTATGGTTCAAATTATCTTTCTCCTTTTTTCCTCTAATTAAGTCATATTACATCAATTATTTTTAGCCTTTAGATGATTAATCTACGGTCTAAACTATCTCCCTGCTTTTCTTCTTCCATGAAGTCATACCACCTTACTTTTTACTTTTGAATCACCATTCTACATATTATTTAAATTGAAATTACCATAAACCACATTAATTTACTTAAACTAATATTATCTAGCTATCTTACACGTTATTTTTTTATTATTATCATACTAAATTCCCGCAGCAATGCGCTAGGTTTCACCTAGTTTTTCAAGTTATTACACTAAATTGGACCCACCTGCTAAGTTGTTGCACTGTGGGTGCAATTTACTCTTTTACTATCTAAAAGTTAAAAATGCATCGTTCAAAGGTAGACCCTATCATTTGCATGGCAACTAAATAACAACCAAAAATTAATTGAAAATATGTATTAT